TAATATGTAGAGTACAACTAATTGTTACCGCGAAATGTATTGCACGCAAGTGTTAAAGTGCACAGCGGTCTATGGCCCAGTTACCGCGAGCCGCCCCGTGCGCCATCCTAATAAGTCGCAATACCTACCTTAGTGTTCGGTTTTGAACCTAACACAACATATAAAATGCTATCGAAGTTTCTGTTTCTGAGAAATTGATTGTTATTTTCAACTTCACTTTATAATAATATCGTGAACAATTAATAAATAATGTAGCTATTAGCAATAATAAAGTGTGTTCAGAAAATAATACTAAATTGTTATTCAGTATGTAGATATGTTTTACATACTTTATGTCATTGGAAGCTTTAATATTTCTTCCGGCAATCGTCTTTAAACAGTGACCAAAACTGTCTTGTGTGATGATACAATTTCATTATCTGCTCGCAAAAGTTAGTAGCCGCGCTTTATGCGGGTTGTAGACCAGGAGCTAAGCTAAGTTAGTTAAGCTTAGCTCGCATAGCTAACGCAGTTTTCCATACTTGTGTGCAGACTACAAACTATTCAAACTAAGCTAACTAAAATATGCGAAGCTAAGTTACATGTGTATGCCGATACACAGCCACACGAGCTTCGCTAAGTCCCTTCCGCCTACCTCGTACCCTCTTCGGGCCTTACTGGCTGTGCTTCCGCTTATGTCTTGGTGTGCACGGGACACATTTTTAGTTTACCTTAGCTTAGCTCAGTAAAGTTGGTTTAGTTTAACTTCGGAATAGCTTAGTTTCCGGTCTGCAACCAGCTTTATCGTTTTTTGTTAACGTTGAGCCACCAAAATACAAAACAGCTACCTTTTTGACTGAGCTATCTGGTATACGGCAAACCACAATAAAATAACATTGGACTCATAACACTATTGTACCCTTAGCACGAACCAATATCGAATTCGAATAGTTTCCGAGTACGGAATGTCATTGTCAAATATGTACTGATTTTTAGTTCTCGTCACGTCCGTTTTGGCGCTGCCCTTCAAGATTTCCTACAAAATTTTACAATGACATTTCGCACTCGCAAACTATACGAATTCAATATTGGTTCGTGCTAGGTATCTTCATATTTCCGTTCATTTTTCAAATACTTGATATTATTATTTGAGGCTACTGGGGCATGGAATTAAGACACACCATTTATCGTGTCGCTAAGGTCTAGTCTACGGGACCTCGTGGGCATGAGAGTTAGGCAAGGACGTGCTTTGTTTAATCTTACACTTGAAAGTAAGCCGTCACAAACATCTAACGGACATACTTTAAAGAGAATAAGTAAGTATTTGTTGGCATATTAAAATTCATAACCTGCTCGCACCAGGGTCATTTTTTGTGACAGCAAATTAAAAAAATATTTTTTTAGCATTTTCAAAAGTTTAAGGGATAATGTGATTGATGATTACCTTTGATGACCTCCGGGGCTGAGTGGTTTGTACGCCGGGTTTCATGGCGTCGCCGATTCGAGAGGTCCCGGGTTTGAATCCCGATGGGGGCAGATGTTTGTGTGATGAACACCAGCATTTATACTCCAGTCATGGATGTTTAATATGTATTTCTATATAAATATATTTATATATGTAAAGTGTATGTATTCTATCCGTTACCCTAGTATCCCATAACACAAGCCTTATAGTGCTTACTTTGGGGCTTGCCTAATTGGTGTGAGTGTTGAAAATATTTATTTTATTTAATTAATGACGTTACCGTGAGATGCCTGCCAGAGCGGTACTTTCCTTATATCTGTTAATAAATAAAGTACTAAGTAAGTTTAAAACACCATTTAAAAAAATTCGTGATTTGTGGGAAACTGGTTAGTCAGATGGTTCAGTAGCTCTTATACTAAAACGTAAACGCAACGACGTGACGCGACACACTCGGATTCCCCCTACTGCTGAAATCATTATAGATTTCTGATGATTTTAGTTTTTTTTTATTAAATCACTGTTCCTGTGTTTAAATTATTATTGCAGTGCGTGCTCCAACTTTATGTAAAACATGATAACCTTTTCATCGTTTCGTGCATATTACGGTTAAAACACATTTTGAATCAATCGGCATCCACACATAGGTACTAACAATGATATTACAGATACAATAGAGGGTTACCTACACCGTAAAAAACAAAACAATATACTAATTTGCTTATATAACATAGACAGATCAGATCAGATTTCATAGACACAAACAGATAGACACATAGACACACCCGTAAAAGTTTTATATAACACCCCTTTTTTGTGTCGAGGGCTAATTAACAGTTTCGTATAAATGCTAAGCAGCACTTCCTTTTTTAAAACACTTAATAACTTAAGATGAACTTTTAATTAAAATCCGGTGAAATAAAATGCTGAATAATAGAAGCGTTTATACGAGGGCTAATTGATTTCCGAATAAAAACTCTCTCGTATACACCCTCGGTGCACGCGAAGATTGATGAATATGGATGAAGCAAATTAACTGTATTCTGATAAGTTGAGAAAAAAATTCAAACCTATCTGGACACAATATTGAAAATTGATGAGAAAATAAAGTTTGTATTGGATTATTTATCAAGTAAATATTTATTGGATAGTAAAATAATTATGTACCCAATAGAATTTTAATTGTTACATATTTTAAATTAAATAAAAAAAACTGTTCGGAAAACAGTTTGCGGATTTTAAATTTCCTCTCGGAATGAGGTTCGAATACAATTTTGGTCTGCAAACCTCCGTTGACTGATTTTAGATGGATAAGTCATCAATGAATGTAACGCAGCGATCAGAGTACGGAGTGTCCATTCACTGAGTTATTAATAGTACAATAAATTATAAAGTTTTATCCCAAAATAACAGATCTATAAATAATTCTCTGTTCGATCCCATATCCTTAATCAAAGAGTTTCTCTCTGTCAATTTGTACTCCGGTCTTTTGTTTCATCCCTTGTCATCCGAACGTTTTGTGTTATTGACATAAACTTGTGACATTGTGGAATCCTTCTTTCTGTTCTATTACGGTTTTCTGGAAAAATAGTTGCCGATATCGTATAGGGCCCGCAATTCAACCGATACATTTACATCAAAGGTTTTTTTTCGTTTGTCAAGTCCACACAGGTGCATGATTCTTTACACTTTTCCCTCTTTTTCATTTCCTGTTTATTTCCTTGGTATAAAGCTACGCTTGAGACGTTTATATCGATCTCAAATAAAACCTTTGCCAAAAAGGCACAAGGTTTTTATTGATATGAATATTACAGGAGGTTTTAAATCTGCATAGTAATTTAGCATGTTATTTGGAGTATCCTGGCATGTTACCGACTCGTGCTTGACCGGTTTTTTTATATTATCTTTCCATGTACATACATTGTTTGACCTAAAACTAAAAGACTTTATTAAATTTAGATTTAGTTTTGCTTATAAAAAAAGTTCAATCATAATGATCAACAAAAATGGTCTTAAAATAAATAAAAGTCTAAAAATAGAATGGTTTTAATTAGTAAAACGTCTTTTAATTACGTTCATTGGAGACGAGCGATACGTCGAAAAAAAGACAACTAGCTAGATAGCGAGCCATATCTTGGCCAGTCAACCGTTAAACAAAGACATGAAAGGAACTCAGCCAACCTTTGGACTGCTGGAAATAAAATGTAGGAGTCACATTGTTCCTATTTTAATGGTCATAAGTTTGATAAAAATGAATTTTCAGTCATCCTGCTGAGGAACTACTTTATCGCTACTATACTAAGTCATTTTTTTACAGCATTAACGGTCAATAACATTGGTGCAACAAACAGAACCATTACGACGAATCCTCTCCATCATAAACTATTAAATCGTTACCTAATGGTTTGTTAAATCGAAAGCCATAATGATATAATGTAACGTAAGGCAGCAGTAATATTTTTTTTGTAAATTGTAGTTAAAATGCGAGTAATATTTTTAGTAATAGTATTTTATATATTTCGTACATGCTTTAACGCTTTTAATGCTCTGCGAACTGCCAAGAGATGTATGATGGGACGCGAAGAAATGTATAGTATGTAAAACACATTTTTACTAAAAAAATTTAAAATATAACAATATTTTTAATGTTCTTCTGAATTGTTAATTATTTCAATTTATTTTCATAAAGTGACAATTAATTACCTATGTAGGTACTCGTTGATCTGAATCTCGAAATGACAGGCAAGGTCCGATTAATTTTTGAGAACAAAATATCCAGAACATGGAGAAACCCCTTTTCCAAGAAGAGAACACATTTTTTTTAAATAAAAATTAACAGGTTTTGATAATTCACACATTTGTTAAAAAAAAGTCAAAAATAATTTAACTATAGAAATATACCATTTTAAAGGTACATTATAATATTCCATAAACTACTAATATTATAAATGTGAAAGTTTGTATGTTTGTTTTTCAATCAAGCAAAAAGTACTGAACGGATTTGGCCGAAATTTGGTACACAAATAGTTCATAATCTGGATTGAGACATAGAATATTTTTATTTTGGAAAAATGTTAGTTTCATGTGTGATTTTCAAAAATCCAAAGTTAAAATAAAAGCGTGTTTCATTTATCTTGCCGAAAAAATGTAACAGGCTTTCATAAAAAAAAATGGAATATAATGTACTTACCTAAAATTAGTATATTTCTGATCTGGCTTAAATCATTTTTAAGATTAAAATAAAAATAGTTTTTTATTTTAAACTTGGTTTTTATGATTCGGAATTTACTACACCAAACGATTTTTGATTTCCGTACCAAAAGAAAGTGAAGACAAATAAAAAAACCTGTTATTTTTTTTACATTTTACCATTTTCAAAGGGATGCCTTTGGAGATGGCCCTGTCCTATGACGCCGTATATGAATAATTCGAAATCATTTACTCGGTTTAGGCTGTAACGGATGGCGAAAAACTACGTCACTCCCGCATCGGTTAGTAAATCTACGGCGGGAGACCTTGTTATTGCTTTTCTATTGAGTTCAGTTATTGTTTTGGACAGATTGCGACTGGCTGTACCAGGACGTGTCGTGTCGGGGCCCCGGCACCTGCGTCCTGGCCAGCCCCGGATATCCTGGGCTATACCCACCGCACAGGAGGTGCCGCTACCTGTTCGCCACCAACTCTGTCAACACTAGAGTCAAAATCATCTTCACGTCCATATTGTTGCCTAGAAAGTAAGTAATGTTCTTCATTCACATTTTAAAATATATCATGTGCAGATAGTAGTTAAATACTTTAATTACTCTAGAGAAATGTTAAAATAATTTGCTGATACGCAAATAATGCTTGAAACGGTAATTTATTTCTGAAAAGATTGTATGTGAAGATGTTAATCAGTCCTGACCAGAAAAACAAAAAAAGCATAATATTTATGATTTTTTATTATTTTTAAAGCATGTAACTGCTTGATGTTTAAATCTAAAGAAAATATAACTAGAAAAAATTCCACGCGGACCAGGCAGCAGACGGGACTCGAATCCGCACCCTTCGCAATCCGGGCGAATGCACTGACCAATTATGCTACCGCGGCCCTCACGGACCGCGTCGAAATTCCTCTAGCCATTCTTAAGCTGCAAGGCAGCGCCATCTCTTCGCATTATAGGTAACCCACAATGTCAAATGAATACTTTTACAAGTATTAAACATTTGAAAGAAGAAATAGCAATTATAGTTATGATTTTTTATTATTTTTAAAGCATGTAACTGCTTGATGTTTAAATCTAAAGAAAATATAACTAGAAAAAATTCCACGCGGACCAGGCAGCAGACGGGACTCGAACCCGCACCCTTCGCAATCCGGGCGAATGCACTGACCAATTATCATAACTATAATTGCTATTTCTTCTTTCAAATGTTTAATACTTGTAAAAGTATTCATTTGACATTGTGGGTTACCTATAATGCGAAGAGATGGCGCTGCCTTGCAGCTTAAGAATGGCTAGAGGAATTTCGACGCGGTCCGTGAGGGCCGCGGTAGCATAATGATAATAAATTAGTTGGTACAGGTGAATATTGTTAATATCTTTGCTCTCACCATTACGGTATAACTTTCTAACTTATATCAGAAAATCACTCGCTTGTGTGTTCATTGTATTCAGTCTGGAACATCTGGCTAATCTCTTACATGTGATACACTTAGGCAATATGTTTGAGGACGCAGAAACTTTTGGAAAATGTTTTGTGACAATAGTCATAACTTCTTGTTCTTCTTTACTGCAGTAATTCTGTCTGTTTCCGGCATCTCGACAGTCTATCCAATATTCTAGATTTAGAATCGATAACATATTTTATCAACAGTTTTATTTAAATCTAAAGAAAATTTTACTAAAATATATTCTACCCAGAGCAGGCAGCTAACGGGACAGTTTTTTTTAATAAAATTTTCTTTAGATCTATACATCTAGCAGTTAATGCTTAAAAAAATCTCCTGATGAGTCTTAAATATAAATTATGATTCGTGTTACGCTTTTCGTAAAGAAATCTCAATTTAAGTATAAATTGGATAACAATATAAATATTCATGTAACAAAAGTATTTCACCAGTAGCAACGAGTTAACTTTCCCACTTGACAAATGACAGATAGTCGGGTAATTAGTGCGCGTGGCCGGAGACATTTTGTCTCAGTCCTTCCCACGACCGCTCACATAAATCGGCACACAACTCGCTGTATTGTCTCCCAGACAGCAACATTTAATTGATGCTTGCCTCGTGTTTGCAAATGGTTTACCACAAAGCCAAATAAAGAAATTGTCGTCATAAAACAATTACGATTGTTTGTCCTGTCTCGATGTGGTAACAGAATTTTGTATTACATTTATAAAAGCTAAAGTGTGTAGGTAAGCTCAATGAAATTTTTACACGACAATGGTAAATAATTGATAATAATTTAATATATTTTAGTAAAATAAGAAAAGGAATACCATTTGTAAATCGATGATGCAGTACTAGAAAATACTGCCATTATCGATGGGGAGGTGAAAATGCTCATAAATATGAAATCTTATAAGCGCCATCCTTGTGCTTATATATCGCAAAAACATCCGCTTTGGAATTCCCGGCATTCGTATCTTCCACCAACGTAAGCAAAAAAATTGTTTCCGTTAGGGTGGCGTAATATAATTTACACGCACAACAACAAGCATGAGAGGGTGAGCGGATACTAGACATGGGCGTTTTTGGTTTTGAATGCAAACGGATATTTATCGGATTTCAGATTTCAAAATCGATTTTAAAATCCGTTTTTAGATATCCGATTTCAGATGTGCCGAACTAAGCCAATTCACTAGTTTGTGTTATGATTTGGTTTTATTAGCTAACGACAATCACAAACAATTATTGTAGGAAGCAAGGATACTCGTAGATTTCCTTCACGCTTTAAATCTAGGCTTAGGACTAGCAGAAAAGTTATGTTTACGGTTAAGAGTAAAACTTTTGCGGCGCATTTAAAAATCGGCTTATATACAATGATTTCTTTTTACATATTTTTTTAGTATTTTTTTTTTGTTTGTTTTTATTATTTTGCAAACCATTTACAAAATTAAACCTTATTACTTCAGGTTAGCGTTGTAAAATGTAAGTTGCTCGACTTTTGATGTTCTTAGACGGCATCTCTTTTCAGTGATAAATAATCCCGCCTTAGAGAAGCGCAATAGATTTCCGTAAACAGCAAACCGAAAACGGACTTCCGAAAACGAAAGCACGGATTTCGAATCCGATTTACATTTGGATACTATGGTGGTATTAGATCGCGTTTTGGTTCGGTTAGATTTCTGAAATCGGATTTTCTTGTTGAGAAATCGTTCGGTATCGATTTGTGATTCAAATCGGATTTTGGATTCGTTTTGATATATCGGACGCATGCCTAGCGGATACGCCTTTCGTTAATAATATCAACAAGTATTTTCTGATTACTTCACATTTCAAAGTCAGTATTTTGCATTGCTTCTTCGGGCAATTCTGTCACCGCTCTCTCGGAAGCATTTTTATCAAGAACCCGTATGAAATACCCACTCTGAAAAGGCCTGCGAACAATCGCTCCAGTTAATAAAAGGACTGCCCTATCTCCCTTCCACCTCTGTGGATTGTCGCGTGTTACTGAAAATTTACGACAAAACCATTGACTTTAAAGAGTGACATTGTAACATGTTCACTTCATGCCGACTTATCATGCGTGAACGTACAGTGAGTTTTAGTACCTACTATTTTCTAAATTACGGAAATTCCACTTCAGTTATCTTCGAGACTTAAATGAAAGTTGAATTCTTCAACGAGCATTTGTTTTTTTCATAAAACCGAGTCAGAACTCAGCTATAATTTTTCATTAAAATAACTTAGATTGACTCTAAACACCATAAAATTAATATTACGTTATTGAATAATTTGAATATTAATAAACAGGAGCTCCTGTAGCTATTTTAAATTTCAGTGTCCGGTTCATTTTACATTTACATTTCAGCCGCAATATAGAGCTTAAACCCTTTATATTGGAAGGCTATTATACTATAATTTTATGCCCCATCAAACGATGGCCGGCGAATTTACGATATCATAGCATTATGAAATGGGGGAGTAATATATATGTAAGTGTGCAAAGCATGTATAGTAGGAATGTGCAATATAACATGATAACCTTGTTTCTTTTCTCATGTATTGTAAATGCTGTTTCATTCATAATGCCATATCCGTAATTAATATTTTTAAACTAAAACGTGGATAAGTTTGTATATTGCAAAGAGCAAATCATAATCTTAATCAAAATCATTTATTCAGTTTAGGCTGTTACAAGCACATATGAATGTCTAGAAGCTACGCCATCGGTTCGTAAATCTACGGCGGGAGACCTTGTACTGAGAAGAACCGGCAAGAAATTCAGCAAGGGCTTTTTTTTCTCCCGGTTTTATCATATACAGAGTCGTCAAGTTGAAAAATGACTTCAGAGATGATTCATGAAGTCACCTTTCATTAAATAATGTGAAATTATACATTAATTGTTCACCTGCATTTTGATTGCTGTGTCATACAGTATAAATACAAATAGAGTTATTTATAATAGGTGTAATTAAACATTTTCATCTTAAATATTAATAGTAGTTAGGGCAGACTCATCTCCGCTGGCAGCACCCGTTCACGAGCATGACGCATGAAACAGCCATCGCTTCGCTCAACCATATTTTAGGGAACGTAACGACCCACCTCACACGGCACCACCGAAGAGACTTTTAAGAGAGCATGACTACTCATAACCACCTATATCAACCACAACATATTTAATTAAAATTAAAGTCAATTATCTGTAGGACACTGCAAACAATTACAAAGCAAAAACAATGGAGAAATCATGACCACACCGTTTTGTCATTCAAATCTTCTTCAACAGCAGCTTATAAAACCAAGAGAACTTAAATCACTCCCTGGTCAAATATTTATCTTTTTTGCTAAATGAGATGTTCTTCATATCTAAAAATATTAAGGTCAAATGAAGTTTACTTTTAGGAGCTTTATTTATTTCATGTTTTTTGGAAGTCGTGAAATGATTGAATGTTCAAGCAAATTCGCGGATCATGACTACGATTAAGCTAAAAGTCCGACTGTTTATAATGACCTAGGCGTTATTGAAATTCCTCTTCTATACTTCGACTAAATATTTAGAGCATACTATATGGGTATCATATCAGGAAAATGTTTTAAAATTTGTTACCACAAATGCACATAAAATTGCAAGGAATGCTATAATATCTTTTATGGTCCATAAATAAAATAATCAAAAGATTGCGATAAATTTCCATATCTCCTAACCGGAACATAGGAGAATGCCAATTTTTAAATTCTTCGCTCCATGAAGATAGGGGTATTCATGAAAAGGCTTTTATCAGTACAATGTATTTAATTATTTTTGAAGAACAGAAAACTAGGTATAAAGCAAATTATAATAGACACGATCCAAATTATTTCGTTTACATAACTAAGAATATTGAATACTATCCACTTCTTTCTGAAGTAGTTATTAAATTTTCTTAAGTGCTATTCTATATTAATAAACTCTTTTTACATCGCGGAATTCGTCGATGTGATTTGAAATTTATATGAAACTAGCGGCCGCCCTCGACTTCGTACGCGTGGGGTTTGTTAGAAATAAAGGTTCATTGCTCGTTGACCCGACTTCTTAATAATATTCGTGTCAAATATGAAGTAAATACATGCAGTACTTTTTGTGTTTATCCCGGATATACTTACATACAGACAAACAGACAAAAATTCTAAAAACTATATTTTTGGCTTCGGTATCGCTTATAGATCACACCCCAAGTATTCTTTTGAAAAAATATTCAATGTACAGTTTTGACTTTCCTACCATTTTATTATTATGTACAGATTTTAAATTACAATGCAGATTCCTAGGTGAAATCAGTTTATTCTTACAGAATTGCACTACTGTAATCATCCTCACATACTTGACTCACTATAAATTATTGTCATTCGTGTTTGGGGAGCTTTAACTTTTTATTAGGTATAATATCTACATTCAATCGAATTGTGTGCTAACATAATAGGGTACACTCTGAGACGTATTTGTTTCAATCGCGCTATTCAGAGATAAATCTCTTAGGAGCGTTGGTGTGTGAGAAATAAAAGTGCTATCTCGCTGCAATACGTTTTCCTACGTACGTACCAATAGTTACTTTCACAATAGTGCTTCCTCTTATCTAAGCCTTAAACAAGCACACTAAGCTTAAGAAAGAAATTACGAAAACTTATGCGCACCATAAATGTTACTTTTTTCGTTGCAGATATAAATTGGCTCTGGGAAATAAAGATAATCACACTATTTTATCCAGTCGCTGCTAACGACCCGTTTTCCTTTTTAAGACTTTAGTCGGGAATACCAAAAGAAGACTTTAGTTTCAATACGTTAAAATTACAAAGTAACTGATGGTTATTCATGATAACGATAGAGTCAATATTATAATAACGAATAAAATAATAAATTACTCACAGCATACACCCAAACAAAAACTGGATTATGGGTAAATTAAATCAGATTTTATGTAAAAAAATACATATTCCCTGGTCCTTTTCAAGGAACACAGCCATCACATCAATTGCCTGTCAATTATGAATGATCTTTCTTCATCTTTATTACAAGAAATCTACTGAGCATGACACTTCGGATAATAAAAAGTTTACCATGTGCACTTGGCATGTCAAAATCGAAAAATAATATTCTTGGCCCATTTGCCCGATAATTCGCTTAGTCAAAACAAAAAGTTTACATCTTTAAAGAATGCATAATTGCACTTAGACCTTTTAGTAACAAGGATACAGTTTTTATGTGGATCTTAGATAAAAAGTTCTTAGATATTTGATCTTCTTCGTTTTCAATGCAGAAAATCATTTTTGAGATAATATTTAAATTGTAGTTTGAATTTCAAATTAACTTTTAAAATCGTAAATATAACAGAAACTCAATATAAACTCTTTCGATTTCTTGATAATAAGATAAACATTGGTAAATTAATGGTGAGATCCCGGCAGATGGCAAGACTCCAAGAATCAATCTAACGTCAACATTAAATCACAGGGACGCGGCAAAATCTGTCACGTCAATTAAAATTGTTCTGAAAATAACAAGTTTGTTTCCTGGGATACATACAATTAGGCAAAAGTCTACCTTAATGGTTTTACTAAAGTTGAAAGAATTAAGCCTATGGTGGGTCAAGAATCGAATTGTCTGATGGTATAATAACGTAGCTCAGAATAATAACTTGAACATTCCGCAACGTAACTGCACTACTTGACCACTCAAAAGCGATGCAGAACATAAATTAAGTGCGAGTGTCTGTTGCAGCCACTGTGCCACAGATTATCTGTCGCTGCGGGCCGGTAGTTCGCCGTCGGCGCCACTGCTGGCTTCACTTTGCTCGGAACGGACAGCCACGCTGGAGCAACCTGGGCCCAACTTGCTATTAGAATTTAAGTAAGTTTCATTTTTCATTTGATTACATTCGTAAATTAATGTGCCTAGCTAAATGTTTCTCGTTTTTTTCATATGATAGTACGACTTTTTTATATAGGTATCAAATGATAAGGTCATAGTGGAAATATCTTTACGAAATCTTATAAAATGAATACGACTTTTTTCCCCTTATTAATAAACGTGGAATAAGCCTAGACTAGTTACGCCGCGTTTTGTTCATATCACTCAAATACCATTTGTCATTCAATGTACAGAGACATAACAAAGAGTAACTAATCCTAGTTTATTATTAGTTTATTAACGTTAAAAGAGGTTTATGTTTACACCTTAGCTCAGGGCCTTTAGCCCCTCCGTACGACTACAACGGCTTCATAGCCAAGCTGGAGTTTATAGATAGAGACGACAGCAGCCTACCGCCACCAACTGTGGTGCCAGCGTCACCGCCGCTCGCAGCGCTCACACATTTGATACAGAATGGTAAGAACTTTGAGGATACTCAGTCTATGATCAGTTGTCATGAAGTTCCTTTATCATAAACGTTAAAATTTTGCCCTGCCACCCCCTACAGGCGCGTTATTATCGGTCGATAATATCGGATGTATTATTGCGATATCTATTATAGTACATTATGTATGAGAACAAGAGCTTCCAAATACCGATTTTTTTCATTACCGGTATCAATACCGAATGCTTTTATTCTCAATACCGGGATCCCGGGATACCAGTTGTTTTAAAATGTGTATTTTTCATATTTGTCACAGATATTACGGTAGAAGGTATTAACTCGACTAAAAACAACTTTTACATGCAAAAGCAACGTTTATATGTATAAACGTTAACACAATACATAACAATAATATTACGTGTCAATAGATTACTCTGATTTTATTACATGTATTATTTATTATTTGTATAACACTACTGTGATAAACAAATCGTGGCCAAATCACTGCAAAAGTTTAGTCTATTTCAAAACACCTAATCAAATAAAAAAATACAAAACATTTTGAAAGTTGCAATTATCTCGACAATAATCGGCTTTTAACATAAGAAGGTTAATTAAGAGAATAATAGTTATTTATGATAGAAGTGCGGTAAGTTGGTGATTACAAACGAGTAGATGAATGTAAACCCGAGACGAAGTCGAGTGCTTACCATATTCGTGAGTTTGCAACACATTTGCGAGGAAACTAACTATACCTAATTTAATTATCGAAAGTAAACTTTTTCTAATAAGAAAATGGCGCGCATTTCCAAATGACGCCACGCGCGGGTGTTGAAAATTAAAATTACATCTTTCGTCTCTTTACTTTTTACTATAAAAGTGTGACAAAGGTAAAGATAAAAAGCGCATCTAAGTAGGTTCGAACGAAATTTAAAAAATAAACTGTAAAGGATATGCACGGTGCTATGTATGGGAGCGTGCAGTAAAATGTTTGCTCTTTTCTTATGCGGAATCCGTAACAAATAATTGTAAGTCATATTAAGATACATTTCTCTGCCACCTCATGCCCAGATAAATGTGCCATCCGTACTGGGTGGACTACTTCCTTCCTTGCATTTAACCTTACATTCTACTAATTTCCTTGCATTTAACTGCCAAGTCATAAAGACATTGAAATATTTATTCGAAACATTCCAAAATAATTTAAACGGATAAAAATGCTCATATACAGCATAGTGATAGTTTATCACTACTAGAAATAAAATTAATTCATTAATACCGGATTCCCGGTGTTAGACGTTTTAATACAGGTATTAAAAAGTCGGAAAAAAATCTGGGATCCCGGTATTGGCTGATACCGGGATCCCGGTATTGGAAGCTCTAATGAGAACGGCTATGAAGTTACAGACTGCGATAATAACGACGCAATTGGATCGAATTCCTAATCATGATCCATATATTATTATCATTTCTTTCTTTTTAGTTCCATTTATGATATTGAAGTGGGTTTTATTTTTTGTTTCTTTTTTTTATAAAATGGATCTGGCATAAAATTGATCATGTAATTCATACGTAAAATGGATTTTCTGTGTTACTGATCTGTGGTTCAATAGAATGATAGTAACATCATATAAAATGATATGCTTTATTGAAATTTTAATTTGATTTTAATATAGATTGTGGGATATAAATTAATGATGATGGTGAATGATATATAGTTTGCGTTTGAATAACAATGGCATTTTAAGAGCGTTATCGACATTATTTACGAGCATTGCTAACTTTTGTTCCAATAACGATGTTAAATCCGATTCAGAAAATAATTCGTGTCGTAGGTAACTGCCATAAGGGTTAAGTATGCGACGGCATACCGAAAAATACTTTTAATTGTAAGTTTATTTTTTGTTATAACCGCAATATAAGCACAGTTTTTGTGAAAAATTGCATGGCGTAACCATAATAGTTCATGACACAAATAGAAGGACTGACGGACAGGATATCGGAGGCTTGGTAGGACTGTTTTTCCTAGGATATTAAAAAGCCATTTTGTCAATTGTGAACAAAACACAAAATTTCAATTATGTTGAGTAGTGCAAATAAAATAATAAAATAGTTTGTAGAATCAGACAACAGCTTTTAGCTGTTTCGTTCTGAAATTTTATTGACAATGCATTAAACTAGCCGGAGTTGCGTTCAGTTGCTCAGTGCTCGTAGAAACAATTAAGCTGGCAAGAGAGCGTGCCCGGGCGCTACTTTATTATCACAAGGCATCGCCACCGGAGCGCTCGGCCATGAGAAGTGGGATTACTTGAAGTCTCATCCTCTGACCGGGTACAATTTCTGTTTCCATTTCGTTTGCGAACATTGTCTTCAGTACAAATAATAAGGTAGGGTGTAATATGTGTGTCTTTTCTTTGTTCAGTGGATAGGGTGGCAGCGATGGAAAGTAATGCGGTGTCCAACGAGGTCTCGGCCAATAATGGCGGGCGAGTAGGGTGCGGTGCCACTGTGCGAGGTTACGGAGCGGGTGGAGCCCGCTCGGGTCACTTTGACACAAGAGCCAGCGGCTGGAGATCTCAGTGCGCGATCCACTTGCTTGGGGCACCAACAGATGTTGTCCAAGTTTCACTGTTCAATTATAATTTAAGGTAATTGACTTTTGACAATTACAACTGGAATGAAAGAATTGTGAATGTAACGGAAGCGAAATGGATGAAATTTGTAAGGACCGTGGCATACGGCAGTAAGATGTATGTGCGAGAACACAGGTAGGTACGGTTATAAACCGTTCTTTAATACTTGTATGCATTAAATAATAGGCTAGTTGACTCATGTCAAATTGCACTATAGAAATGTTTATTTTTTATAATGTTTGGTACAAGGAACCTAAATACATCGATTTCACTTCATAAAATTAGAAAATGGCAGTAGTAATTGCTAAAAAGTAAAAATGCTTTTTATAGTCTATGCCTTTAAAACACTCAAAACGTCTTGTCCACCATGATTGTGACGTCAACAAGTTGGTGAATGTGTAAGTAAACAACTAAACGTCATTGTCGTGTTACTGTGGTGTCTTTCGTCGGTAAAATATATCTAAAAACTCTTGTAGAATAATTTCCGTTTATTAGTTTTGTTGACTAAATTAATGCTGGATGCCGGATTTGTGAAAGCAGAAACGACAAAACTATTTAAAAATAGTAGTTACATTCATAACCTTAAAAATTGTATTTTTAAACTTTAAATATTATTCAATGAGTACTCACATTAAAGTGATCTTTGCTAAAAGAAAAGACTTTCAGACGGTAAAATTACAGGATTCAGTAAGTTTTAAACATGACTGTGTTCATGTGTAAGTATGTGTATTTCTCTAGCCAATTTAAACCACAACTATTCTGGAGTCTTTAACGATGTGTTTGTACATTCTCTTATAATGCAATCATGATAATTATTATATTTATCATGAAATCTATTAGAAGTTATGGTTTTTAATATAAATTTAGATTCCTAATTGCTTCCAAATGTTTATTTACGATTTTGTTGTTGTCATAGCATAGATAATCTATAGACTAAAACGGCCGACAGCGTTTTTGAATGCCCATGAAAAATCTATTTTAAAATTAAGGTTTTGTAACTTTCTAAGTAAAAAAAAATACAATACATTTTTATTAACCATTTAAAACATATTTACCATTATTAACCATTTAAAACATATTTCCAAAAAGTGTCAAGTACTCTATTGTAAGTATTAAAAGCATTCAAAAAAATCTTTTTTTATATCTGAACAATCTTGGAGAATTGATATATTTAAGACTTACCGCAATAGAATCAGCACCTAAATTCTTAATAAAATCAGCATCTGAATTCCGATTATATAAATTGAATAATATTTTTATAGAATCAAGACCACTATTTTGCTTTCACTGAGTTATCTTTCCTTTTTCGTTACATTTTCAACACGAAACCATTTGCATCTCGCGTGCATAGAAATTAATTAATTAAACTTTCTCAGATGACGTTGCGGTGTGCCTTATTGTTTTCGTAGAGTCGCTGGCAACAAAACCGCTAACCTCGAAGTAATATGAGAAACGTCCAAGGCAGCGCCAGTGCTAATTGTTTTTGACTTTTCTGCCTTTTCTGGTAGCGTTCCAACGTTTCATTGACAGAAATTTCGTTCACAGAGAAAATTAATTTAAAATTAATGTTTTCTATTAAACAGATTACAAAGTTGCCGATCTCATATTGAGGTCTTGGAAGGGCTACACGACTTCGGAGGGAAAGAGAGAGGCGATCGGTCTGAAAGAGGCGACCGAGCTGTTTTGAGAGTTTGTGGACCTTCGGTGAGGGAGGCGAGAGACCCCTCGGGAAGATTCCTGCTTCGCCAAGCAGTGACATCCAAAGGTGCTAATCTCACCATTTTGGTGCGACGAGCGGCCACCCAAAGCGTGGACGAGGAAGAATTTGTGGATGGCGCTTTCGCCTTTCATGACGGTGAGTAAGATAAATATTCCCATTTGGAAACAAATTAGTTCCTCGTGAAGGCATGCGAAATTCATATATAGATTGTAGGTATATCCACCGTTGCCGTCCCATCCCAATGACGAGGAACAAAGGGATACCTCTCGACCGCTCGGTTGAGCGGATGCTATATACCAATAAAGATTCGGTAGATTACCTACAGAGTATTGCAGGACGACAACACGCTCAACTGAGCAATGATCTTGCCGTCAACTGTAAAATATTATTACTTTGTCATAGTAGATATTAATGTATTTTTTGTCATACATACTTAGTAGAATTATGTTTAAGTACGGTTTTCACTCGTTTACAAATAATCGGTCAATGTTAAGAAGACTCTTTTCAATAAACCAAAAAAATTTGCTGATCAAAATTTCAACGCTAAATTCATTTTTGAAAATATGTAGTATTCAGCCCAGCTCGCCCTTATCGTAAGATCGCTATTATAACAATAACCAGTCATCTGTTAAGTGTATAAAAACAAAATTTTATTCTTAAAAAAAAGGAGAACGGACGTTTTTGCCTAGGAACCAATAACAACATGCGATATACTATTAGAAAGGGTTTTTATGTACTTTAATTGTTGTTATGGCGGACAGTCTCGAATCGCTGTGTGAAAGAAGTTCTGACACCATAAAGCCAGCAAATAAATAATTATAAACTTGTTACTTTGGTATCATATTAGCTTAGATTAGTCATATCATATTGTGCGCAGCATTTCGCACGCTTAAAGGAATACTGACCTATTAGTACTTAAGACAGACAAAAAGTTGTCCTAAAGCCATCTATATTATTCTATTCACATAGATTCATAATAATCGCTGTCATTAACACCTTACTTTAAAATAAGACACATACCTAGTAAACAAAAAAATGTGCAAACACCGCAATACTGTACGTTATTCAACGTTGAACTAAGTTGGTACTAATAGGTCAGTTTTCCTTTAAGCGTGCAATTTGCTCCATGACCTGTATCGGGTTTGCCACACGAAGGGAAAGTATATTAAATATTAAAGATAGGATATTTTACTGAAAGAAGACATCATATTTTTTTTAATAATAAGTAGAACTGCATTCTTAGATTTTAAAATATCGCCTGCCATTACGGGAATCGAACTCGTGAAATAAAAAGAAAACACATGTATTTTAAGATAACCGTCGAAAGAGTTCATCATAAGGATTATTTTTTCCTAAATGAAATAATCCTTATGTCTCCCTGTATAATTAAATTAAAAGATGATCTGAAAAATTTGCACCGGTATAATACGCCTCAAAACGTATGGCCATTAAGAGGTATACAGTCTCGCCATTTAAGGACAAGAAAATATTTGTTACATTTTGATAAGGGGATGTAATTGATATTAAACACTTGTTTGCCAAGTCACCGGAAAATAGGGAGTTGTGACCGTTTAACTTACATTGTGTATTATCTGGGTGTAGGAAGGTATTAGACCCTTTTTATCATGTTTCAGTGACTATATAATGACAGAACCCTTACTGTGCGAGTACAACTCCCAATTAACTCATTTTATTGATACTTTACTATGTAACTTTAACAAAATAAACTAAAGTTACTTGACGATTAACTTTAAAATTAACATTCGAGTCAAGTCTGCTGCCTGATCCGCTATATAGTAATATTTTCTTTAGATTTATACATCGAGCAATTACATGCTTAAAAATAGAAATTAAAACCATAAAAATAAACACTTATATTGCGTCATTACTTTTTTTACACAGCACCTTGGGAATTTTCGCTATAAAAATAGTTAAAGTAAATAAAAAAATATTTCCAATGATATGTCGCGTATTGTTATTTGGTTTTGAGGCAGGCTTCCATTGACCATTCTCCTTTGCTCTTTAAGATGTTATTGGAAATGAGCATAAGAACTATGAACGTAGATAAATCAACAACCTTAAACAGGTTGGTGTACATAATATCTTAAACGACACAAATAAGCACCTCTTAATATAGTCATTCCTTATATAACATTCTTGCACAAACTGATTCAAGATCGACAGATAATATTCCAATAATAGCTGTCGCCCGGCCGTAAGCTTGGTATCGGCTTGCTGTAAGCATACCGTTAACTCACATAGTCGAGTGGACATACCGTAGATGCTAATGCACTCCGATTACACGCTCACTCAGGGTTGACGTCTCGTACATGGCGAACTGATACGAAACCGACCCATTTCCAATTTGATATAATATATCTACATAGTATATTTTTTCGAACAGAATTGCATGAAGGCACTGCGTCTCCGGACGCTACTTGTGCGGCTACCCATTACGGTCTAGCGTCACCGAAACACGGAGGAGTGTCGGCGCCATCCCATCATCACATCTTTTGGAACATTGAGGAGAGACTGCAGTGCTCGCATCGGTTTATACCTGCTGCCAATCAGAGTGTAACTATTGAGGTGCGTATTGCAAGCGTCATGGTGACCGCTTAGGCTATATCCTTAAAGTACGAAAACCTTTAAAAATGTAGAACTATAAGTTTGGGTTTTAGTTTGTTTTGTTGGGATGCAAAAAAGCGATATATGTGATGTCACACCAGGGGGGGCGGGTCTCTCAAATGTGTAATGAGCAATGTGTCACGGACGGGGGAGGGGTCAAAAATCACGAAAAAGTGTGACGTACTTTATGGATGACCCCTTACTATGAGCAGTTGGTACACATTTTTCTTTGACTACCAATATACATAAAAAATTTTGAAACTCGATTTCTTGTTATTTAAAATGAACCACTTTTACTACACTGAACTCGGCCAAAGGGCAGCCTATGTTTACATTTTAAATGTATGGTTTTGATATAGATTATGTTTGACTTGCTTATTTGCTAAGCCACTGAACCTGAAAAGGGTCTGAAATGATAATTTACCGTATAAAATTAAAATGTATTCGCCATATAAATCTGTGTATTAGGCTTGTTCTATCTGGAGTCCCTTCTATATTTATTTAAAAGGTAGACCTCTTACCATGTTTCCCTTGTAGGACTAGCAGAACATCAAAGATGCGATGCCATGAGATAGATGTATTTGTCTTTCGTTATTTATTAATAAATTTTTCTTAGGTTTTTGTTTTATTTTATCACTAATTTCACTTCAGCGCACTTAGCAATAACACCCGTTGTGTATATGAGATGAGAGATGTCATATCCGCACCAATCTTTCTTATTTATCGATTTTGTAAGCATGAACAAGGTATCGATACGAAACGATATAAATTTAACTCGCGATATGATATGGTTATGCCGATATATAATGTTGCCCACGTGTTAAACACTATTTATTCAAAACTGATTAGCATTCAGTCTTTTTTTCTTTTTTTCATCTTAGGCGAAGAAATCCAAAGGCAATATTTACCATGTTGCTTGTCTTATTATACAACTTTGGAGGAGATAAATCTTCGAAGGTAGGCAAACCAAAAACTGACATTCAAAGAAATCGGGAAAGTAAGAAGTTGGTAAATGGCGCTTTCTGCTCACTTTTTTAATGACAGGGCCGCCTGGGGTTCAACGTGTGTGTTAAATATTTATTATTGCTAATAAGTATGTTCGATTGATTGGTTATATAGATTCAGCGGTTAGACCGTATGTGGAGTGCAGAGCCGACGGGCACGGTTGGTGCGGCCGGCTGCAGGACGGCTTGTGGGGACGCCGGCTGCGAATGCCGCGCCAACACTCCGTTACACTACCACGACCACATAGCGTTAGTCGCGGGTGATGGCACGCATCTGTCCTGTCTCTGCGGTGACTTCAAGGTGGGTCGATGGTGACTGCGAATACATGCATCAAAAGCCAATACCCCGCTGGTTGTGGGCTATGGAATGCATCTTTCCTGCCTTTGTGGCGACTTCCAGGTAAGTAAAGGCTCGCTGCGAATGCCGCGCTAACACTACTCTGCTACCACTACAACAACAATATGTTTAGAGTTGGTCGCGGGTGATGGCACACATCTACCCTATCTTTGAAGCGGTTTTCAGGTAAGACGAAATTGATTGCGAATGTCGCGTCAAAACTCCGCTTCATTAACATGACCATAAAGCGCTGATCACGGGTAGTGCCACGCATCTATCCGGCCTTTATGATGACTTCCAGTTAGGTCGAGGGTGGCTGCGAATGCCAGTAGAATGAAAGTAGTAATTACCTACCAACCCACCAAACATAAATTTTATATTGTTGAAAGTTTATGAATGATTCTTATTAGCAGATTAAACACAACCCGCTATTTATTCTTCTTTATTTAAGAGAATCAACCAAAAACAAACCAACTACCAGAATATGGCGAATTTTCATAGATCTGTTTCATTATTATCAGACTTCGCGACACGTTCCAACGTCTTCAACTTCCTCCTATCATTGTGTTCTATTTGAACAATGCTATGCACGCTTTGACGCATTCGCAATTGTTGATTTCTCGTTAGAATCCATTTCGAACACGAACATCGAGCTGAGCATTTTTCACAATCTTCTTTTTTTCCATTGCACGGATACTTGTTCGTCGAAATCAGTAAGCATATTTGTTCGTTTTCAATTCACTCGAATGTTTTCTAATCACATTGTACGTGTTTCTTAGATCAATTTAAGCTTCGTGTTATTTGAGTATTTACTAACACTACAAATCTATACAAAGTTCTTTGAAAGGGTGTAGCAAATAAATTAAGCGTGTTACACAGGCCCGTGTGCCAACATAGCCGTTGGAAGAGCAACCCTTCCGCAGAGCGGTAACCTAAGCTCCGGTCTGTGCGATCCGCATAATTAACTAAAAGGGTTACTATTAAGTATGTAACAGCAATAAAGTGAGGAGAGAGCATCCGAATGTGGGGACTTGTAAAAGCAAATATAACCCCTAAATATTTCCACTCTCTCACTTGAAGAAATTCAATTTGTTTATATGTAGGTACCAACTTCTTTGAGTAATCATCCAGTTAAATCTTCAAGCAGATGCTTTATTTACGCATTAATTAAATTTGTACAGTTTGCGCTCCGTTGACAATTTCGTTCAGGGCAAACTTCTCGAAGTTTATGTTTAATCGAACGCCAATTACGTAAAGTGATTGCTAGATTTGTGAGAAACATAATTAAACTTCATCATATACGTGTTGCGGGAATTTTCTCGTGCAGGTGCTTGAGGTACATGTATAAACATAAGAGCAAAGCTATGTAAGATCGCGCGTGAGGGTGAAGCCAGAGAAACTTTTCTTTTTCCATTATCATGATTGCGCCTAGTGGGAGTCCCGTAGAAGGTTGCGGTTTTAGCTACAAAACATAAATATATGGCGCGCTGAGCTCGCTATACCTACGTATAGATAGACATAGCTTTTATTATCTTGCTGCGGACGAGAGCGTCGTTTAATTATTAACAATGTTTTACCCCTATCATGAATTGAGTGTTACTACGCTAAATTATGAAGCCGACGCTTGTTGCAAAATGAACTTTAGACAATATTGTGAGCGTTTACCGGCCGTGACCATCGGCGCTCATAAAACATGGCTAACTGGCGGCGTGTCATCCGTTCGCCCCTGTTATTAGCCTGGGGCGACAGCCTGGAGACTCGCCCCTGAAAATTCAATTACTTAGTAGCTCTCTTCGTATGCGAGATGCGTAGGCGGTTGCAGGGCAAATTTGTCAATACGCCACACACGTGATATGGCATGTCTAAAGCTATCCTCGGCTTATTGGATTAGGCTTCTTTTGATTTATATAATATAAAATCCTACATAGAGTTTATCACGATGAGACAAACGAATAACTAAGTAACACAATTTCAAAATTCAACCTAAAGAATAACCTGGCCGTGAATGAAATCGTTGACGCTTTATAAAATACTTCGCTAAGTACCTGTCAAGAAACTCTAAATGGATTTAATTTTTTTCGCCAAGCATTCCAAAAGACTAATTATAAAGTTGGATTTACACTGTCCCTTCTGAATTTTTTAAACTCTTTATTGGTTTAAAAACTTTTTCCGCCTTCTAAGTTAGCAGTAGGTACGTAACTTTTTCATGAAGAACCTTTCCGAAAATTATACTAAGATTAAAAATTAAATAATCACAATCAATAAAGTTTCGTACGTAATATGTAATTTTGTCATAACAATGTCAACATCGGTTTAATTATGCAGATAACTAAATACCTACTTTCGAAACATTTCAATACAAAATGTATTTGTCTTGGTTCTAGTTTTAATGCAGTTTGTGTGCATCGTCACGTTAACAGGCGGCGTGGCTGCCCGTGGTGGTGCGCAGTTGGACGAGCGCGCGGCTGGAATACTCAGTAGCGCACTACACGTACGCCAGTCGGGGATTCGATTACGCGGCCGCCTACAGCTTTAACGACGACGCCATGTGCGGCCAACGCACATACACCACTCATTCAGGTAAAACAACGCTCCCAATTCCCCGACCACTCACCTGTACATAATTTTATTGCCCCCGCGACATGAAAACAGGCCCCCGCATAATTCGATGGTTATTCCGCTCGGATGGGTCAGATTATCGGCGACACGTCTCCTATAGCTTTGCTATCGACTGCCGAACGCATCAAGCGAAAAACAAACAGTTCAATTTGACATTCGGCTCGCGTCTCGGGCGTTTGGAAAAACGCGCCGGATATTGTTCTCGGCGCAGCGCGTCCGAGAAAATTACGTGGCACGACCCAGTTTCACGCCGCCCTGGGGTGACGGTGAATCAAAAAAAAACCTTGAACAAGGTCGTAAAGTTCCAATTACAGCGTTGCTATTGCGGCGACTCGTGGCTGCCTTTTCATTGTATTATTGCTCACGTAGGTTCTGTCGCGTTTTAAAATTCTCTGTTTATACTCTTGAAAGGTACCTGTATTTTTTCGGTTTAGGCGAAATAGCTTCCCGGAACGTGTCGGTGACGGGAAGCCTCAACGAGTTTTTCTATCAACAATGCACATGGGTCCTCGACTCGAATGTCGAAAGGCAGCTCTTCATAGATATCTCATCGGAGCAGGTAAACGATTTATAGCTTTTAATTAAATTACTCCTCGATTCAATCTTAGAGGCTTGTTCGGCCGTTCGCCTCAGACCGGCATTAAGTGGTCAAAATTAAATTTCCAAAAGGTAGATAATATAATTAATAAGATTCTTCGATAAGTCAATTAGCAAATTGGGTAAATAAAGAAGCTTCTTCCTGTTTGCATTCAATTTAAATTAGCTTAAGCGACTTTTCTTTATAATGGGAGTATCTTTAATTTTTCCTTTGTTGTTTAGGATAAATCTTGTGGTTCTTGGAATATCACCCTCCATGAATGGTCTGGTAGCGGGGCCCACAGCGATGGCGGTTTGGCCGCAGCAGCGGGCGAGCTATTGTATACCTTCTGCGCACGGCATAAGAACCACACTTACACTCTGCCATGGCGACTCAACACTGTAGTCATCAGGTTCGCAAACTTTGACATGCATAAACAGCATTTGTGGTGATTGATGGGATAATATGGTGACTATACGCAAACGGAAATAATTATGTATTGAAAATTATCTTTAGTACCTACTCACTCATGCCTTAAATATGTGTTTAAAAATTATTATTATATATTGTTTGATGTATCACGGCCATTTGCTTCAAAGGAAAGGAGAGAAACTAAATTATACCATACATTTCCATCTATCAAATGTATTTCAGTAACCTAACTCTACGCAATATCACTAATATAATGGCGCTTCACTTCAGTAGCTCACCTAATATACAATTTATATACTCATTATGAATTCTCCTTGTTCTTATGACGAGCTTTAATATCTCCAGTTGGTTATGTAATGAATACGAGATGAACAATAATAGTTTCCACAATATCTCAGCCAGCAAGTTTAAATTGCCTGGTTGACATTTTATGAAGCAATCTGACTTTTAATCTTTTGGAATAGAGTATTCGTATGATTTTACACTCTGGGATTTAGATTTAACATCAGAGAATTCATGACGAGCTGTGGACTATTATATGGATGTTTAAGGTACATATGCTTTAATATCAACCAAATATGTCACGTAATTTAATTATACAGATTAATGTTCCGCCAACACGGGATGGCAAAACATCAAAGGTGTAAGTTGGGAGACGAAATATACCCCTTGAGCCCACATTTAGCTAGAGTTGGTTCTCTTAACATTACCTAATTGTAAAGACAAGGTTAATATCAAAATTATTGCATCACGCTCTTCTTAATTAAAGCTATCCATTTTCAGTAGACTTGTCGTCCCTTTTTGTCTAATGGTGCAGTAATGGGTGAAAGCATGTCACTTTTACTTATTTTAACTCTTGCCCCAACTGCTAATCGTATTATTGGCTAAGCGAGGGCATACTTCTTCCATCGCCTAAAGCAGACGTGAGTGCAAAGCATGAAAGAGACCCAAAGAAATTCCTACGTGAGGCTTTTAGCACACGCGTAAAAATTTTGGAAAGAAAATAAAACACTTCCCAGATCTCCCATTTGATAAATAATTTATAAGGCTTAATGCTGACGTGCCAAAAACATAAAAGCGCGTGCTTTCTTCATATGTACGAGTATATACGTACGACCCGGGTAATGTACAGGGGTCTTTTTTCTTTGTGCATATTAGAGGCATCCCAAAGACGTTACGTAGTGTTTTGGAAATGAAGCTGTGGACCTCGCGAAACGATGTGTGAAAATACGCTTTTCGTTGTCAAATTGCGTATTTTTAATAAACGACGGCCGCGTGCATTCGTAGCTGGCATGTTACATACATGAAATTTGTCATTTAACATATTGTGTGTAGTATTGCTTATTTAATAATATTCTCACATGCTGGAATAAGAGCAAAAAGTTGCATTTTTTTTCTCGCACATATAAGGAGTCAATCTACGAACAAGTTCTATTCAATGTAGCCATAAGTATTATTCGTATTCAACAACATATGCTTTCCTCAGATTGGTGGCACTGTCCCGGCAGCAGCCCCTCTATAGGATAAGATGGAGGTCGCAAGTGGTCCGGGCTAACAATCGCCTGGGCCCGCCCACTCCTGTCCCAGCGGCGTCGGCTGGTACCAGCAGTCCCACCAATGATATAAGCTTGATTTTCTCCCTGCTGCTTTGGGTGGCCCTACTGAAAGTTGTGTGAACACGGTAAGTGGTTAATGTAATATTATTTTCACTGTAAAAATTTAAAGGTTAGAAGGGCGGTTTTTTAAGTTTATAATTTATTTTAATAATCTTTCATACTACTTTATTCCTTTTTATATAGTTGTTTACGAACTACATTTATTTCTTAATTTTAGTTAATTATTGAACCCCTGCTAATTGATAATAACTTATTGTATTGCTGTTTAGAAATTATTTGCATATAAATAATAAGACATATATACGAAAAGTTTCACGTTTACATGTTCACTTCCGCGCCCTAAAGTTGCTATTGCAGATATTTTTTATCAAATTTAGTTGTGAAATACATGTAACATTTCTAGATTATATTCAATTTAGATCTTAGTTCTATCAATGCACAATGAGCTAACAGGATAGCAGGAATAAAATAATAACAGCCATATGTAATGGCGGTGTCACGTCGCAAAACGACAAGTAAAGTTCTTTTCATTTCCACAATGTATTATACCACTACTTTATTTAATAGAATCCCGTTGTAAAGCTTGATTCCAATGAATTCATCCTCCATTTCTCCGGGTCTATTCTTTACTTCGACCCTTCAAATACCATACAAAATGATTCACAACTTACTTTCGATTCTGTATTTGTTTAGAGATAAAAATAAAATGTTTATTAACCTTCCTTTATTTTTTAAAAATAAACCTAATTTTGAATAAATATAACTTAATAAGTTGAAAGAACGGTCAAGTGTGAATCAGACATGCATTCAAGGGTTCCGTACTATCGCGTTAAGTTAAACATTTGCGAAATTTAAACTTTTCTGGTTTTACTACAAAAAAGTTGGACACTGTTCCAAACCATGTTTGAAAAATTTTGTATGTATTTTTTCTTAAACTCGTAACGTATAACTTCTTTTTTATTGGTAATGAGGCTAATTTTTAAAGTAATTTATGTATGCGGAAACACATTTTAGGGTTTTTAAAAAAAACATTGTAAAATTTTCAGCATTTTAATACAAAGCTAGTGCGTTTCTTCCAATCGTTTAGTATCTAATTTTATTTTTTTGTTACAGCAAGTAACGCTACTACGAAGATCGTCGAAAATAAGTCAAAATGCTAATTTTGACGAAAATGATAGTGTTTAAAAAAATAACACAACTCTGTGGAACCCTTTCAACGCTACACTTTTTATAGGTACAACGAAAGTGTTACCAACACAGTGCACATTTGTATAGAATACTTTAATAATAACAATAACGAAATACGAATAAGGTGTGTAAAAAGCGAACAAGGTGTTTCATAATGCAGACGTCTAGACTTTAAGTGTACTCAACAAAAGCGAGGTAGGTTTTAGTATTTAATTACAAAGCACTGAGTCATTTAATCATTAGTCTATAAAATGTATTTTTCGGAGAACGCTTTCATGACTTAACCGGTTTTCGTGTACTCTAATTTTCTGTTAATTTATTTGCAATTTCTCAAACAGTGTACTATAACCTTCATTACATAAGTGGATATGTTAAAGTCAATTAAATATAGGCACTAAACAATAATGATACTTCAAAAAAGATAGTAAGCATGTACTGATCGAAAATGTATCTACTATTGATGCTTAAAGAAAAATATTGTAAAAACACATTCTCCATTTTTGTCTTAACTTCTATGATTGATTACCTTTAAAAGTTAAGTAATAAATTCGATGACAATCAGTGCCCTATTTGATGCCCCCGCGGATTTGTACCGCGGTTCCTATACAAATCGGCGAGGATCCACACCCGATCCGCGCGTTAAAATTTTACAGAATAGTACTGCTGACCTGATGGGCGTTACAGTATATTACAATTTCAGTCGGATAAAACAGATAGGTGCTTCTAATTAATAATAATTCATGTTGTATAAACTTCTGGGCGGGTAAAACCACACCAAAATTCAATCTAGCAAAGTTGGAAATCCATGGAAATTAAAATCGAGTCCTGAGATTTATATTTTATTCTGAGGAAAAAACTTTTTAATGTCTGTAATATAAGGTTTCGTCCGCGCTAACACTTATTGAAATTATGTGCGTAAATTAGTTTTCATAAATAGATTTTTGGTAAGTATGTTATTAATTTTTATAAAACTTCATTTAATGACAAAATGTTTCGGCTAATACTTACTTACTCGAAGTATTTCGATTTTTTTCAAGGATATTTCGTGGTTTATTTTTCATTGCGAGTTTAAAATATGTAATACTGCACATAAAAAAATCACTTGGTTTTAGCCAAAATATTTTGTTTCTTCTTTTTAAAGTTCTTGGTAGAAGGACGCATACGGATCTTTTTGCAAAAAATAAAAACCTTTTGCTTTGGCTTAGAAATTTGATTTTTACAGGAGTTGACATGAGTATTATAAATACACAATAAATTTCAGTTTGATACCTTCACGCGTTCCTGAGAAAAACGGTCTTGACAGATGGACGGACGGACAGACGGACAGACGGACGGACGAACAACAAAGTTATCCTATAAGGGTTCCGCTTTTTCCTTTTGAGGTACGGAACCCTAAAAATCAAATAAATAATTGCTTCTAGACCCATAATATTTGCAAAATTTTGAGTCAGTTAATTTATAAGGTACGGACGTAGGATGTACACTTTTATAGCATAACCCTACCCGAGATCTTTAGAGATTGTGAGAGAGAGTTAGATCAAGACAATCATGAAATAAGAACCTGCCTTCATGTTTTTCATGTAAAGATTATTTGCAATAGTATTAAAGAAACAAATGTATTTTTAACTCATTATTTTTATTGTTATCATTAATACCTAATACGACCAATCGTGCTATTCAAAAGAAAACATAATTACTAGTTTGCATGCAAACGCTCCGTTGAAAAATATTATTGGTTTTGTTATTTAGATTTTAAGTACTTAAATAAATTGTAACAACACACAAATACTACACACTAAATTGCATGGTATGTAAACTAATTTCTCATTAGTTATTAGAAAAATGTTTCATATAAGTCGTCGATGTTGAATAGAAGTTTATTGAAAGTACGTGTTAAGGGAAATTTATTTCAGTAAAACGATGGTTTCCAATTAATTTGTTTTTTTATAAGCAATGTTTAAGTACCTAATTTATGTAAATGCTAAATTAGTTATCGAATAGTGTAACTATTAGATTAGATGTTTTGATGTAAATAGTCGATTTAGAATTTAAGTTAGTTTCACTAACGAATATTAATTTTAATTAGGTAGGTAGATGGTTCCATGGGATACTTAAAATAATATTTGTTACACCGAAATAGATAAACATGAATTAATATGAACTGTGTATTATTTAAACCTTTTTTGAATTCCTAAGTTAAATGTTCTTAGAGTTTGTCCATGTCTACTAAGCTTTTTCTTCGTTTGTCGCTGTGTTTGAAATAATTTCTTGTTTTTTTTATACTCCTGACTTAATACAATTATACATACTTTGATATTGCGAAAAATAATTCATGAACTATTTAAATAATTACATAATAACAAAGATACACATGAGGTCACGATCCTTTATCTCCATAATATTTTCAAATCGTTTCTGCAGCGATAGTTACTTTCACATCCTACTATCACATTAATATTATAAAGTCTGTGAGTGTGTATGTTTGTTACTTTGTCACGTCTAAACGGCTGAAGCGATTTTAATAAAATTTGGTATGGAGTTAGCTGACACCCTGGATTAACACATAGGCTACGTTTTATTGCGGGAAAATATCCCTAATAAACCGCGGGTAACACCACGGCGCACAGCTAGTAATATTATAAAAGTGAAAGGAGATTGCTCAGCTTCCATACATGTTTGGCCTAAAAACCAATAACCATGAAAAATTGTTTCCTACATTCGAAATTATATATAAATTACCGTAGAAACGAATATTATCGACGGCCACTCCTGAGAACTTCTATAAACCGTATACACTGAATGATTTTGAGGTTATGTTTGCAAATAGGCACATAGGTATTAGAATAATAAAAAACCAAATAACTTATATAGGGAAATAGGGCAATCAAGCCAAGTACCTACCGATATTATGTATTAGATTCAGGTATATAGAGCATGTAAAATAACAGATATGTGCATGTTTTTAAAAACACGAACAGAAACTGTGTGATGATTGTGAATGAGCCACAGATTAGAGAGAATTTTTAAACTCTCGTTAATCAAAGAAAGCTAAGAGCTGTAGGTTATACAGCCATATCTTCAGCAGCTTCATTATTTTTGTTATGTTTTTATTATAACCATATTTTAGATTTTTAGTGTATCACACCTTATAATGTGTTTATTTAGGTGTTTGGCAAAAAATGTACGGCAATAGACTTTATGATGTCGCCTACCATCTATATTAATTGTCTTAGCACATTTGCATGTAGTAAAAATGATAATAAAGTTGTGGATATGAATACCACCCGTGTAATAAAAAAAAATATATATTTTATCAATCTTTACAAAATAGATTTGTTTTGATGTTATATAAACAACCTCGATCAGTCTTTGTGAATGTTACTACACCCATAGCCAATAAAAATGATTCGTATGTTTTCCAAACCGGTAAAAATAGAAGTCCTTTTTTAAAATTAATATATTATTTAAAGGTGGCCGTTAAAATCTAATGACTGTAAAATAAAGTATAAATTACGCCAAGAATTACTGTATATGTCAATATTTTATTTGCATTTAGGCCAATTTGACCAATCTCCTTTGTAATGTTACTCAATCGCGCAAAAAATACAAAACGGTTTAAATGACATTTAGTACACGTATAGTTTAAAGCCTGGATTGAGACATAGAATTCTTTATATCCAGGATTTTTTTAGGTTCCTGTGGGATTTTCAAAAAACTAAAGTTAACGCGGACCAGTGATGGGCCTCGAGTGATTTTTTTTCACTCGAGTCACTCGGTACTGGTAACTATATCACTCGAATGCCACTCGAGTGAAGATAAAACTCGAGTGATTTTTATTGACTCGAGTCACTCGGAATATAAAACTCGATGACCAAAATTTTCGAACGCAAACACAAATGAATTTTCTTTACTCGAAAAACATGCTTGTGACGAACTACATTCACCACTGATATTCTTGTACTCAACTGGATGTTTATTTTTCGTGTGAGAAATCAAGTTAATTGTATTACCAAAATTGTAACTTTTTTTGCAAAACTTACAAATAACTGTTTTTTGTTCCAAATTTTTGACAAAAAATTACCACACAATTGCATTTTTACACTTTTACTCATTTTCACCACTTTAAAAACACAGTCATAATTTGGTTATTTATGGAACAACTAACACAAACATATTTCTATGTAATTTCAAAGAGAACCTAAAGCGGGTAAACTTGTCACAACTTGAATTTCTCACTCGGCTCGGTATAAACCACTCGAGGGGTACGAGTCAACTCGAGTCACTCGTAATTCGAGTCGACTCGAGTTGTCAAAAATTTAATTCGAGTGCGAGTAATATAAAAACTACTCGAGTCACTCGAGTGAAAAGTAATTCGAATCCCATCACTAACGCGGACGAAATCGCGGGCAGGCGATGGTTTTTAATAAATTAGTACGTACTTAGGATTATAATTAATACAAACTCAAATAATTTAAAAACAGAAAATAGCAGACTAAATAAATTGTCTGACCATTATGCAACCGCGGCCGTGTCGAATTCTTTAGCCTTTCTTAAGCCGCGGAGAAAAATTCAACAACTAAACGTTTCCGTATTTAGTACCTACTGAGGTTACCAAACATTTCCAGATTTTTATTTCAATAAAAATTTGAAAATCTATTTTTACAGTACGTACTCGATTGTAGACGTTTGTTAAACAATCATTCGATTTAACAGTGTAGTCTAACGAGCAATTCAGTTAACAAAATCACGGGAGCAAACAAGAGCGGTGCTCTATCGATTTAATTTCGTCGCTCGAAACTTTAACGTTGAAACGTTCGATTCTTGCCTTTCTTTAAACTTCCGCTGTAGCCTTTGAGGCTTCTAAAACGGAAGCTTCTTTCGAAGTACCCACCCCACTTTTGCTTCAGTTCTTACGAGAGGCTATTACAAGTGTTTACGATGTGCATCTGTACTGAAAGGCACGTGCAAACTGCATTCTCAATGCTAGTGCACTGTGCTTACTTACAGTTCAAGTGAAACAGTATTGCGAACGTAAAATCTTGATAACTTCCCGTAGGTTATGTTCTTAACTTGAAACATACTGAACTCTCCCATATAAAATATATATTTTGGCATGTATGTTTTTAAAGAGAAACTTTAATTACATCACAAAAAAACGATATTTTTTGGCATCACGCATTACATTTTCGATTAAAAAAAAGATATTAAAAAAAATAGTCATAATCAACAATCATCGGTGGTGCAATGGTAGAAAGCTTGACTGGTACGCGGGTGGTCTGGGTTCGAATCCCAGCCGAGAAAGGGTTTTTTTATTAATTATTGAAAAAGTTTTACTTGCATCTTGGTTTCATAAAATAAGCACGCTAAGAAAATGGACAAAAGGCATTATTACGGGTCTCGGAAACGTATTCATTAAATGAACACTGAAAACTAACCAAATTACTTCGCTTGGTTGTCAGCTCTATGTTTCCACTGCGTGTATCATCTTGAACACAAACATCTTTGATACAATGTATCTGTCAGTACAGTTATTAGTAGACGATTTCAGCAATTAACGAGGTGAGTTTCGATTCGAAGCGGTAGGGAGTACTACCAAACTTATCGCCAAGTTTCGCAGATTTGATTCGCGGTGGTGGGCGGCGAAGCTCCTAAACTTGCATAGCCTGAAAAAGACTGTTGGCAAGGCTTCCCGTCGGATGAAGTTCGAACCCGGCGTCTTTGTGCACCACTCAGAGGAAAAGCAATTTAAACTACATGCGGGCACGGCAAATATTTATTTCGTTTGGTCTCAACTCTTTCTGTTTTTTATATGCTTACTGAGGATGCCTGGACATGACATTTTATTTAAATAGTCCTAATTTAAACTTTTAATAAAAAATAAAATATTAAAAACAGCTTTTACCGAGATTTTTTCAGCAAATAAGATTCAGCTATGAAGTAGTTGGAAAAGAGTAAACCATATACCTATATCTTTCTCTCTTCTATTATAGTAAATATATTTTTGTATGCACACTTTTCTAGGAATGTTTCTTTTTCTGCTATAATAATAAAAAAATGTCTGCAATTCTGCAATAGGCAAAATAGTTAATAAGAATCAACACTTATACACAATAAATCATTTTTTTTTTTTTTTTATTATAATTCAATAAAAGAATTATCATAATAATAAAATGCTATTCCTTAAATCTCAGCTAAACAATGGCTGAACGAATTACTGCTGATCAAATTGAAATAAATTACTAATTCATAAATGCAGTATTATATATATATTACTTAGTTCCGATCATTTTTAATAAATAAAAGTAAAAGATAATGAATAAATTTTATTTTATTTATTTAAGGACAACCAACAAGAATATCCACATAAATTATAGTATGACAATAATCTATAAATGACATTTCAAAGTGGTATCTTAATTATAGGCTACCACGGCATGCATAAATAAATGACAATATTAACAGTGTGCAATTTTAATAAAATTATATAAATAAAAAATATATTCAATGAAGTACCTACCTAACTTTTTCAAATCATTAACGAACCGTTGCGTTGGGGCTGGGGATGGTGATTCTTTCCGAAAAAGATTTTTAAATCCATTCGAACTGTGACCTAATGAATCGATCCACAAAAAAATCGAGGCCAATAAGATCGATTTCTGAAGAATCGTACTTTTTTTTTCAAGATATAAATCTATTTTATGAAAGACATTTCATAATTTAACGATCTCTTATGAGTAAAATCAGGTAATTCGTTAATAGTAGAAGAACGGCGGGCTGTTTCCGCAACTCGACACCCAGTGCCTATTTTGCGTGGGGAAATTCGATAAAATGTAGTTTATTGGTTCCAAAAATCGATTTTTCGATTACTTAATCGATCTCAGATCGCCAACCCTAGTTGGAGCTCGCTCTTAAAACAAGAAAAATACTTTCGGTACACGATATATGGCAACAATTACCATTGAAATTTATAAAGAAAAGGTCCTTTGCTTATTTTGAAATGAATTATTCGTACATTTGTTGTGTTAATACACATACTATACCATTTGTCCAGTTCACTCTAGCGGAACTATGTACACAACCAACGTCCCAAATTAAGGACTTATGCATTATGCATGAGTCTTACAGTATATATAGCTAAATAGTGTTCTAGA